ATATTGAATTAGTTGGAAGGTCTACTGCTAGGAGAGTTGGTTCACACTCTTGTGCCAGATAATTCTTGTCAGAATCCTTCTTGCACGTTTATAAATCTACCATTCGTCCTTGCGTTGAATACTGGTCTGGAGTTACTACGATATATCTCAATATTTTACACACGCTCTTTCCCTCTTACTGAACCATTTTATCCATGAATATAGGATACTTTGAAATTGTATTTTATCGCACACACACGCATATACATATATATATATATATATATATATATATATATATATATATATATAATATCAATTGATAATTGGTAGGGATAATTCCAATGAGGACATTAATCCAAAGAGAGTTCAATGAAAGTAACAGAGCAATATAATAATAATAAGTACAGATGATCCTTAAAAAAATCTGCCAACAAAGAGATATTTTATAAACACTGCAACGTTTATAACAATGCTTTAAAAATAGTGGTTATAAATGGCCCGATATGAAATACAGAAAACATAATAATGATAAGCCAGAAAAAAGATAGAAATGGAAAAATCATTTGGTATACACATCCATTTAATCAAATGCTTAGCTCTAATTTAGGACAAAAAATTTCTCACTTTGATTGAGAATTTGAATTTCTCTAGTAATCCTCTAATCAATATTTTCAATAAAAATACGCTTAAATTAAGTTACAGTTGTACTGATAATGTAAAAATATTATTAAAAAAATGCAATAATAAAATTTTAAATAAACACTTAAACCTAATTAAAAGTAGTCATTCCAAAGCAGAAATCAATAATATTGAAAATAAATTATGTAATTGTAGAAATCCTATAAATTGTCCATCGCAAAATACATGTCTTACAGAATTAATTATTTACGATGCACCATTTCATCGACTGAAAAAACTGCCGTTAAGAAATTTTATATTGATAGCACAACCCCTCCTTTAAACAAAGTTGGTATCAGTAGATATCTCCTTTTAACAACACTGCTTACCGCAACCGTACATCCCTCTCTAAAAATTTTGTGATTTAAAAGAAATCAATAAAACCCCCACCGTAAAATGGAAAATATTTAAAAAAAGCAAAAAACAAAAAAAACGAGAATACGTAAATCCTTAAATGACCCATATCTCGTCCCTTGTGTCTACTGCATATTATTAAGTTTCTTAAAAATAATGATTTCCTAAAACAGCGTAATGAACTAACAGTATAATGATTGCTTTAAAATATAGTTAATAGAATTTTTCGTAAAAAATCTAGCATTACTGTTTTATATCCATTATTTTATGAATATATAATGGTCCCTACAAAATATTTATTTAATTCGTTGATTTTCTAACTTTAATATTGCCATGTTTTATTGCCCATTCATTACAATAAGTATTGTATTTTTGGCTCAAAATAATATATAAAAAATGATTTAATCACACTAAAGGCCTCTTTAAGATAGTACTCAAGTATATTATTTTTTTTTTAAAATCTTGAATTTCTTTATAATTAACCTTTTGTTAAATATATCTCTCTGTTTGCTTCAATGTATTTTATATTTATATTCGTAATCAGAGGTAGTCTGAGCAGACGAACCTTAAAAGTGTCAATTCATCTAGACACGAATCAATAACCTACCTACCCTAAAATCTATCAAATTATTTCACCCACAAAATTTTCGAATCTTGGTTCCCCTCTCTTTTTAACTCTCAAAAAAGTTGCCATATTGTTTTCGAATATCACAAGTAAATCATTTTTTATCGTATAGCCTGACGATGGAACAATTTTTAAGTTCTGAAACATAGAAATTTTTGTGTAGTGATATATTTTATAATTTATATAAATTATTATATATATTTTATAATTTATATAAATTATTATATATATTTTATAATTTATATAAATTATTATATATATTTTATAATTTATATAAATTATTATATATATTTTATAATAAAATATTATTATAATATTTTTGCTCTCCGTTTTATCAAACGCTTAAAAAATGCTAAGAACGGTGGATTCTTAATCTGTCTGTTCTTTCTTCTTTATTCGTATATATATATATATATATATATATATATATATATTAAAAGAAAAAAAGACCACTTTAAGGTTCCATTATAATAATTTATTTCACCAGAGCCCTTTTAAGGGACGCTGGATCATCAGATAACATTTCCAAAAATGAAATGAAAGATGAAATGAAAATTCACACTTTTGACGGGTAGTGTCAAGTTTATGTAATTTAACAGAGAGGGTATGAGGGAGTGGTGGGAAGGGGATAGAATCCAGGTAGAACTCAATGTCTAGAACAGAGCAAGGATATAATATAAAAGGCTCAAACACTAATATTCCATGGTTATAATTTATTACATTGGAATCCTAATCACGATCCAATTTATCGGTAGGTCAGATGAAATGGATGGTGATTACGATTCCAGTGTAATAAATTATAACCATGGAATATTAGTGTTTGATATTTATATATATATATATATATATATATATATATAT